ATAATCTGAACGTCCAGACACCAAATATGACATATTTGCTTGGGACGGTTAAGGAGATATCGCTTTCTACTCTCGGGTAGACGTAATCTAGGGATGTAAGGTATCTGGTGACTCGCATTAAACTGACCTGTCTGAATATATGTTTTGTTTCATTGTATGTATTTCCTGCGAGAAGTTATGAAATTATATGAAAAGTGGTTTCCAAATGGGATGTAAGGTTTTACTGCTATTCCGGAATGCTTTCAAGTCCAGTGACTGACGGGTTTATAGCTTTACGATCAGCTCCAAGCAAGAGTCTGCCAAACACACTGGAATCAGCTAATTGGGTTTACAACCATGAAGTGTGTCCAGCTGTGCCTGATGCACTCCTGACTTCAGCCACACCAGACCACATGCCATTCAACAGGAAGGGAGGAGGGGACTGATTTGAAGTGAGAATGACACAAGATGGAGGCTCTTTAGCAACATGGATGTCCGCGTCAATATCTGTATATACAATTGCTACAAGTACCAGTGTGCAAAGGTGCATTTGCTTTGGAAGAATAAATCACCTCTAACGTTGGGTGTACCGGATGGATGTAGAATAGTTTTTTTACACTTTAGAATGGGGTGCCTTGAGATTGCGCAGAATTTTAAAGGGTGCCTTGAGATTGCGCAGAAGTTTAAAGGGTGCCTTGAGATTGCGCAGAATTTTAAAGGGTGCCTTGACTGAAAAAAGGTTGAGAAAAACTGGTGTGGAGTATGTGAAGAGTAAATTGACTGCACTCTTCAAACGCCTGGAATAAATAATAGAATTATGCTGTGCAGCATGTCAATTACAAATGGCAATTCAACTGGAGCTGCCTCAAAGAGTTACATCATTTACAAGATGATTTGTGCCGAGAGAAGGCTCCTAAGGAGTCATCTGTGCATATGGATCTGCTTCTAGATTGCTTTTCTTCTGAGAGAAGAATGTCCATTTCCGTGCACAATGGAAGCACTCTGGACCTTTCCTAGGAATGTGGCTCCACATTGGCAGTGGTTCAGGAGAAGGGGTTGACCAGTGGCTGAGCAAGACAAAAATGTCCTCCGTGGTTCATAGTCCTATCTACTAATTTCTTCTCTAGCTCCCTTCTTTGCCTGTTCTCCAGTATGTGGAGAAAGATTCCAACTGTCACTTATTAATGGCCCACAGTCAGAGTGCCATTTACTCAGCGTAGGATGTCCAACCAGCCGTAATGCAATGCTCAGGTTCAGCTACCCCACTCCTCTACCAAGACCAGACCCAAGCTATCCCACACAGTTCTCAGGCCTAGGTTTATTTACTCCACAAAGCTATCAAGTCAAGCCCCGGGTAGCTGACCAAGCTGTCAAGCACAGACCAAACTAGCCCACCTAGTTGTCAAGCTGAACCCAACAGAACCAGCTGAACCCCAACAGCCCACTCAGCTGGTAAGCCCAGGCTCAGCTATCCCACCCTGCTGTCATGCTTAGACCCAGAAAGCCCATCTAACTGTTACAAAGGGCCAGTTTACTGTCCTTTTAGGTTTTAAGAGGGCTGGACTGTGGCCAGTGGGGGTAGACAATGCTCTGGCATCAGGGGAAGTAAACAATGCCTCATCCTTGGTTCTAATGGGAGGAATACTAACATAGTCTGGTTGAAAAAAAAAGACAAAAGTCCAGTTCAACCATTAAAAAAAAAAAAAAAAAAAACTTATAATCCTACACCCACAGTTGATCCAGAGGAAGGCAAAACACCCAGCAAAGCCCGATCCAATTTGCTCCTGCTGGGAAAAAATTCCTTCCTGATCCCCCGAGAGGCAATCAGATATTCCCTGGATCAACTTTACCTATAAATGTTATATCCAGTTATATTCTGTGTATCCAAGAAACAATCATGGATTTTTTAAAGCGATCCACTGAGCTTGCCAGAACCAACTCTTGAGGGAGTCTATTCCACATTTTCACAGCTCTCACTGTGAAGAAACCTTTCCATGTTTGGAGATTAAATTTCTTTCCTCCAGACGTAAAGAGTGCCCCCTTGTCCTCTGTGATGACCTCAGGGGGAATAGCTGTACACCGAGTTCACTATGTGAACTGTCTTGCCCATTCCAAGCTAGCCCACCCAGCTCTTATACTCAGACCCAGAAAGCCCATCTAACTGTCCTGCCCATTCCAAGCTGGCCCACTCAGCTGTCAAGCAAATGCTCAGCTTGCCCACCCAGGTGTCAAGCCCAGGCTCCTCCTGACTTCTGGAGATATGTCCCCAAACCCTGGGCCTCCATCAACTGTACCCAATGTGTCCATCACCCTGAACCCTCTGGTAACAGCCAAAAGCCACACAATTTAGTTTCCTTTTCTATTCTTCCCAAAACCAGCCTCCCCTTCTACTGCACCCTTTGGAACACCCACTCTGTCTGCAAAAAAACTCAACTCTGTCCACTATTTTAAATCTACATGCTGTTACTGAAACCAGGCTTCAAGAATCCGACACTGCTTCTCCTGCTTTCCTCTCCCATGGTGGCCTTCTCTGGACTCACTCCCCCAAAACCCAGTGGTTGGAAGGGAGGTCCCCACAGAGCACCTTTCAGGTTCTTCACTCTCCTCCTTCTCTGTCACTCTCCTCATTTGAAGCACAGTATATAGGTCTAATTTCTACAATTTCCTTAAAGTGGAACAGCTCTGCATCTGAGCACCACAAACCGAAAATGTTATATCATTCAAGTTTAATATTCAAAACAAACTCCCCCATCCATCCATGATTTATTTTACTGAGAAATCAGTTTGAAAAACACCTCCTGGCAGTGCCCATCTTGAGTAAGGGCAGATGATTCATGTATCATTTACTTCCTGGAATCCACCTGTCTTTGGCTCAGGTGTTGGCTGAGCTGAGAACCCTCCCTCCTTTCCTAAAGTCTCCTGGGGTGTATGACATCATTTGCCTAGACATGGAAACCAGGAGACATGGAAATCCATCCATGTCTCCATGATTTATTTTACTGAGAAATCAGTTTGAAAAACACCTCCTGGCATTTCTGGCAGTGCCCATCTTGAGTAAGGGCAGATTCATGTATCATTTACTTCCTGGAATCCACCTGTCGTTGGCTGAGCTGAGAACCCTCCCTTCCTAAAATCTCCTGGGGTGTATGACATCATTTGCCTAGGCATGAAAACCAGGAGACATGGAAATCCATCCATGTCTCCATGATTTATTTTACTAAGAAATCAGTTTGAAAAACACCTCCTGGCATTTCTGGCAGTGGCCATCTTGAGTAAGGGCAGATGATTCACGTATCATTTACTTCCTGGAGTCCACCTGTTGTTGGCTGAGCTGAGAACCCTGCCTTCCTAAAGTCTCCTGGGGTGTATGACATCATTTGCCTAGGCATGGAAACCAGGAAGTAACCACAGCAATATATACCGCTATTTGCAGACGCCATAACTTTCACGTAAACCAATTAATTTACACGTATTGGGATTTTTTTTTTTTTAGTAAACACACGGAGCAGAATACATTTTGGCCTAAATTTATGAAAAAAAAAATAGATTTTTTTAAATGTTTTTATTTGATATGTTTTATAGCAAAAAGTCAAAATATATATTTTTTGTTTGTTTATAGCACAAAAAAAAATAAAAGACGCAAAGGTGATCAAATACCACTAAAAAAAAAAAATCTATTTGTGGGGAACAATTACATAAATTTCATTTGGGTGCGGCGTTGCATGACCGTGCAATTGTCAGTTAAAGTAACGCAGAGCCGTAACACCAACAATGGCCTGGTCAGGAAGGAGGGGGGAATCCTCTGGAGGGCAAGTAGTTAAAAACAAAAAATATTGCATGAATGGAGCAAGCATTTGCCGAGCTGTGAGGAAGGATGGCCATATTTAAATGAACACAGCGATTTCCTTTGATCTAGTGACCATAGTTCGTGATTAATACTGCAGTTCTACATTATGGCCACTAGATGGAGCTGATGATCATAGGAAATCACTGTATGAAAGAAAATACGGACAATATTCATCATGGCTTTGTGAAGCCTTGTCACATTCTATCAGCAATTTTTTTTTTTTTCCAAAACAAACCTCGAAGCGTTTGTGAAATCTCCCACCACAAACGTACTCAGCCAATGAAAGGTGATGACTCCATTTTTATTCTTCTCTTGCTATCAATGGCCAACCCGGTCCCACCTTCATCCATGTCTTTGGGGTCCTCTGATCTCCTTATGAACGGTTTCTTCCATGATGAAGATCAGCCCTGGAGTATATCTGAGGTGTATATCAGGGTGTGCTTCTTCCCCACATGAGACCTGGGATGTCCAGCAACATTCATCTAGAAGACATTTCCCGCACTCAAGGCACTAATACACCTCCAGGGTTGTGTGGGACCCCGATGTACAGGAAGACAGGACTTCAGAGACTAACAATTCCCTAGCTTAAGACAGGAATACGGCTTCTCCCCCTTGTGAGATCTCTGATGCATGTAAAGATGGGGTTTCCTTGAAAAACATTTCTCACACTCAGGACAGGGATATGGCCTTTTGTTCGTGTGCAGTCTTTGATGTCTGGAAAGATGGGACTTCCCTGAAAAACATTTCCCGCACTCAGGACAGGAATATGGCTTTTCCCCTGTGTGAGATCTCTGATGTGTGTCAAGATCTGATTTTTGTGCAAAACATTTCTCACACTCGGGACAGGAATACGGCTTATCCCCCGTGTGCCATCTCTGATGTCTGTTAAAAGAGGACTTGTCTGAAAAACATTTCCCGCACTCAGGACAGGAAAATGGCTTCTCCCCCGTGTGAGATCTCTGATGTTTAACAAGATGTGATTTAGTTACAAAACATTTCCCGCACTCAGGACAGGAAAATGGCTTCTCCCCTATGTGATACTTCTTATGTTTAACAAGATGTGATTTAGTTGCAAAACATTTCCCACACTCAGGACAGGGATATGGCTTTTCTCTCAGGTGAGATCTCTGATGTGTGATAGGAATGGACTTAGCACCCGAATGTGGTTTCTCACCTGAGTGAGATTTCTGATGTCTGCAGAGATTGGACATCTTTGAAAAACATTTCCCGCACTCAGGACAGGGATACGGCTTCTCCCCCGTGTGAGACCTTTTATGCTCATTTAAGCTTGATTTAAAATGGAAACATTTCCCGCACTCAGTACAGTAAAACCTCTTCTCTGTTGGAAGGCCGGCCTGGTCCCGCACAGTCTGAGGTTCCTCAGGATACGAGGAATCCGATGGTCCATCTACACTGGGTGGTGCCGGATGGACATTGGAGGGAGCCGGGTTTTCTCCTGGACTATACTGTGTGATGTCCTCATCTTCTACTTTCCAGTCTGGAGACAAAGTGAGACAATCCTGGGAGGTTTTCCTCATCTCCCGGCCATGGACTAAAATACAAAGACAAAGAGGATTACTAGACAGGAGCTGATTGGTTCCCCCAAACCAGGACTCCGCCCACATCAGGCAGCTTGGTCTCTGAGGAGCTTACAATTCCACCCTCAAGGGAACTAGGAAATGGCTCCTCTGATCTCCTACCAGGTCATTTCTTTATTCATGGACCTTAGTCAGAGAGTGAGGAAACAACCAGAACTGTCTTTTATGGGAGGGACAGTGATGAGGGGATTATAGGACAAGGGTCCCCACCCCCTCTATCACTCATCGCCATCTTCCCAACACAAGAAGTACTGCACTTCCTTATTTAGTCCATGATTTAGTCATGAAGAACAGTGGGGCTGAGCCCCACCAGAGGTCAGAGAGTGAGGATGGGGGGAGAACAACCAAGATGAAGACTGGACTGATCCTGAAGACCACCATCATTGGGGTATTGACTCCTCCCTCATTATCACTTTCTTTTTAAGGGTCCAAAGTTGGAGGATGTTATCACATTATTATCACCATGTAAAAGTCTGTGCTCCAATCACATCATCCGATATAAAATGTCCAGCTGGTAGGAAATGGGTGTAACAAAAGAGAATCCATATTATGTGTATATATAGCAGTGGGGGGGGGGGGGAGAGCAGAAGTCAGGACTATGGAATGTACAACATGGAGTATATAGTGCAGGGAGTCAGGAGTATGGAATGTACACCATAGAGTATATAGTGCAGGGGTCAGGAGTAACAAGTTAGACACAAAGAGCCAAAATTTTAAACTGTGAAAGTCAGAGAGCCACACCAGCAGTGACCTGCCAAAACAGACAAACACTCACAGGGGTCAGGAGTACACATAATTAAAACCATATATTCACCACAACACTTTCTTCCCCAGAGTATGTAAAGACGCACCTAGGTTTTTAGAGGCAGAAAACAGGAAAAAAACAATTCTGAACTAATGGACTGCAGACACAGTACAGAGATGAGTGCAGAGACAGGAGTATGTAAGTACAGGAGATGACCAGAGACTGCGGACACAGTACAGGAGATGACCAGAGACTGCGGACACAGTACAGGAGATGACCATAGTGCTGCGGACATAGTACAGGGATGACCAGAGACTGCGGACACAGTACAGGAGATGACCAGAGACTGCGGACATAGTACAGATGACCAGAGACTGCGGACACAGTACAGGAGATGACCAGAGACTGCAGGACACAGTGCAGGAGATGACCAGAGACTGCGGACACAGTACAGGAGATGACCAGAGACTGCGGACACAGTACAGGAGATGACCACAGAGTGCGGACACAGTACAGGAGATGACCAGAGACTGTACACACAGTACAGGAGATGACCAGAGACTGCGGACACAGTACAGGAGATGACCAGAGACTGCGGACACAGTACAGGAGATGACCAGAGACTGCGGACAGCACAGGAGATGACCAGAGACTGCGGACAGCACAGGGATGACCAGAGACTGCGGACAGCACAGGAGATGACCAGAGACTGCGGACAGCACAGGGGATGACCAGAGACTGCGGACAGCACAGGGATGACCAGAGACTGCGGACAGCACAGGAGATGACCAGAGACTGCGGACAGCACAGGGGAGGACCAGAGACTGCGGACAGCACAGGGGATGACCAGAGACTGCGGACATAGTACAGGGATGACCTAGACCAGAGACTGTACAACATGACCACAGACTGCGGCACAGGGGATGACCAGAGACTGCGGACATAGTACAGGGATGACCAGAGACTGCGGACAGCACAGGGATGACCAGAGACTGCGGACAGTACAGATGACTGCTGACCTTTGGGGGGAGGTGGGGAGCGGGTACCTGAATTTGACAGGTACCCGCTCTTACTTCCGCAGAGTTTTTGTTCGATCTTACCTGTTCCTCGATCCAGCAGCGCGCTGTCTTCCCGGCTTCTGTAATGGCGCTCGGCATGACAGCAAATGGCGCTCGGCAAATCCAGGAATACAGGACGGGGGGGAACACAGCTCAGGCAAGTGACCAGGGGATTACAGGCTGATATCACCCAGTCCCCATGTGACAGACCCAACCAGGTCAGGGACATTTGGAGGGAACTAGGGGCTAGCCTTCTGCCCACTGATTATGGTCCATGGAGAGAGCAGATCATTCTCCAATGATGGACAACAACGTGATGAACGCTGAGAGCAAAGCTCTGGCTTAATTCTCTGCATAAAGACAATAAATCTTCCCTTCTGAAATGGATATAAAAATGTAATATTAATCTTGTACAGGCTACTGGTCAGAGGGAATACGGTGGCCCTCATGCAGACTGGGTTGGAGAAGCTCCTCTATTTGGGACAGAAATATTTATCAACAATCTCCCTCAAGATATCTATGGAGATAAATTAATTCCACTCGTCAGACTGTTGGGAAATTGTATGAGTTTTGTCTTATGATGTACAGATTATACAAGTGAAAGCCAACACTGAAAAGACAGCATGTGTAAGGGACTTTGTGTGTTCAGGGGTGGGGTTTGCTGCCAGGCTGTCTGCGGTAGGCTCCCCGATTGCTGGGGGCTTGGTTGTTGATTAGCCTACTGTTAATTAGATCACTGTTAGCTGTTACTATTGTTCTTACCTAATCGTTGTGGGATGTTTATCTCATTGTGTAATGTTCGTTTTATTGTTCATGTGGGGGCTGCCCCTATTTCTGGATTGTATAAACACCTATACAATGAAGAATTCCAGTTCGGCATCTAAGCTAGTCTCGTCTAGTCTTGGGTGCGATGCCCGGCTAGCAGTGAGCAGTATGGGTGGAGGAAGGATTTAGTGTTTAGTGTTCATGACCCACCTGTGCTGATCTCTGTAGGAGTGTCCTCCTCTATAAATGTCCCCGTTATTCCATCCTCCTCCATAGACTGCTGATCATCCCTCACATACGCCTCTTCTTCTTCTGATTTAACCTCAACTTTTATATCTATCAGATCTTCACCCTAAACCAAGAGAAGGATCAACAATAACATCTGTAAAATATATGAATTAATATTGTGACATCACATAAAAAAAAAACAGACATCTCTTTGAATCCATGTTCCACATACTCCATTCCACCAACCTTGTAACTGTGAGGAATGGTGTGACCTTCCTGTGTGGAATCCCGGGAATACAGAGGACGGGGACATCTCTCTGGTGGGTTTCTGTAGCTGGATGACTCCACCATGGTGTCCTGGTACAGATCTCTGTGTCCTTTTAGAAACTCTGATTCCTCCATCACCCCATCCTCATCCTCCTCCTCTTTTATCTCTTCTTTAACCTCAACTTTAGGATCTCTCAGGTTTCCACTCTGAATATATAATAAAAATGACATCAATGGTAACAATGCAGATAATGTACAGATCCTAATGATACTATCAGTGATTGTTCCTCATCTACCTGATGATGGTGAGGGATGGTGTGACCTTCCTGTGTGGAATCCCGGGAATACAGAGGACGGAGGACATCTCTCTGGTGGGTTCCTGGTATTAGGTGGACTCCATCATATCCTTGTGCCCTTCTGGAAACTCCTCCATCACTCCATACGCCTCATCCTCCTCTTTATACTCTTCTTTAACATCAATATTATAATCCCCGAGGATTCCACTCTGAAAGATATAATAAAACATTCATTGTAACAAACATGCTGTGTATAAATCACAACTACCAATAATTGTCAATCCGACCTGATGATTGTGAGGGATGGTGTGATCTTCCTGTGTGGAATCCCGAGAATACAGAGGACGGGGACATCTCTCTGGTGGGTTCCCATTACTGGATCCATCTACCTGATGAAGGTGAGGGATGGTGTGACCTTCCTGTGTGGAATCCCGGGAATACAGAGGACATCTCTCTGGTGGGTGTTCCCATGACTGGATCTACCTGATGATGGTGAGGGATGGTGTGACATTCCTGTGGGAATCCCGGGAATACAGAGGACGGGGACATCTCTCTGGTGGGTTCCCATGACTGGATCCATCTGTAGGAAACACACACACTGACTGAATCCATTGTTTCTATGTGTTTATCAGATGATGGGGGATCTAGGTGGATCCTCCGTACTGCTCTCTCCTTTACAATAAAGTCTCCTCTTACCCGGTGATGTGAGGGGCGGCTGATTGTCCATCATGACGTCCTTGTAGAGATCCTTGTGTCCTTCTAAATACTCCCACTCCTCCATGGAGAAATAGACAGTGACACCCTGACACCTTATAGGAACCTGACACACACAATGATACAGTCACCATCCAGACACATCCCTTGTCTGTTACTGGAGAATGTCCCAGAATTCCCGGCACCGCTCACCTCTCCTGTCAGCAGCTCAGTGATCTCTCTGGTGACTTCTAGAATCTTCTTCTTCTTTCTCTCTTCTATCAGGGAGGGAGGTGGAGGCAATGTGATGTCATATGATCTCCAGACTTCACAGGAGGAAATCTCTACATCTGAACACAAACAGTAAAATCAAATGACATTCCCAGAATCCTCCTCACCTCTCTGGTCAGGTCTCAATTTTATTATAGCCCCACTTCAGGCTGAGGTATAATTTGCCTACACAGGACCCCTTCAACTATGTAGGATGAAAGCTTCAGGGGTGTGGAAATATTTAAAAACTACTTGTCCAGGGACTAAATGGTGTCCCAATCTACTTGTCCTAATAAAAAAACATAAATTTGAACCAAAACTGTATTTAAATCTGCTTTAAGGAATGTAGAAGCGTTTTAAAAACAAAACATTTAATATTTGTAACATTGCGCTGTTTATCTCCTCCTTCCCCCCTGCCTATCTGTCTCCAGCACCATCCCCGGGGACTAGCAGGGAAGGGAGAGACCTTGCAGTGTAATGAGCACCGATTGGCTGCTTGTCAGGAAAGGGGAATGTCTGACTTATCCTTTATCCATTTCGCTGCCAGAGCCTTTTTTGCATCATTTGCACACATTTAAAAATTGATTTAGGCCTGAAGATGACACAAACCCCCCAAAC